TAGGTCATTTAACTATTATCATTCACGTGGACTTTAGCTCCAATCTCACATGCTCGCTTTTCTCTTCTGTTTCACACGGAGTCCTCAGCCTCCAGCCCCGCCTACAGTGCTCCTTTCAAGCTAAGCAACAAGAGAGCCCACCCTGCTACTGCCTCTTGTGTTGGTCATAAAGTTGCCTTTAGTTATTTGCCTAAGGGTGGGGTCCTGTCATGACCTTGTTTATGCAGTCGTGTTATAGGAGAGAATGTTTTACATCCTTCTGTGATGTTCTTTACTCATGGAATCAGAAGCTGTCGAGTTTGGCATGTTCATTGGCATCATCCTTGTTAAACTTGTGTTTGGGCGGTCATGTTAGTGAGACTTTATGGATATGGCTTCTTATGCTACTATGAGATACAATCTTACAGCAAACCCTCTGATCCTCTGGCTCCCACAATCTTTCCTTCTCTTTTCCTGAAATATTCCCTGAGCCTTAGGTGTATAGATGTAGCCATTGGGGCTGGGCTCCACAACTCTGTCTGATCAACAAGATTACTCACATATGAGACTGTTTCACAGCAGACTTCCTGGTATCTGGCTCTTACAGTCTTTTCTCTCCCTTTTCTGTGAAGTTCCTTGAACTGTAAATGCCAGAGCTGTGATATAGATACATCCATTTGGGCTGGGTTCCTCATGATACTTTGATCTTTGCATTGTATGCAGTTTTGTTCTTCTGTGATGGCATCCTTTGTTGCAAAGAGAAGCTTCCTTGGTGAGGGATGGTAACTGTACTTACCTGTGGATATACACTAAGGAATTATGCTGGTTATCAAAGTTGCTCTAGGAGATTCTTTTCTAATGTTCTTGACTTCACTAACCCTGAGAAGTTTGTTAGGTATCTAGCCCCAGGCATGCTTTCCCTTCTATTGAGTGGGCTTTAAGTCCAATGAGACAGTTACTGCTTATCCCCACCATGTAAGTGCCACTAAGTGTTTGTTCACTGCCACGCTAGTCATTGCTGTGGTTCACAGGTGTGGCAACTGGGTAGGAATATCAATTTCTTTCCTCCTTCGGCAGCTTCCATAGTGTTTTCTGGTACCATGGGAGGCTAGACCACAGAGAGGAAGCTTTCGAGTTAGATCCAGCTTGAACTATCTAATTCTTGTATGAAGAGAGGTCAGCAAAGAAGAAGGAACAAGGGACAGATAGCACCAAGATTGTTTGCTATAGCCCCAAAGAATCATATTATTTTATATTTAACTAAAATTATACACAGTCCATGTAAGTGTACACATTATATATCAATACACTAATGTTTCATTATAAGTTATTAATATATTAGCATATGTAATATAATATCATGTTATATATTATGACATAATATATACATTAATGTTCTAATATATGATGTTTATATTATATATTAATATATATTAAATGAAGCTAATGCTACTTGAACTGATTGTGTTCCCCACCAGTAGCAAGCTGGAGAAATTTTCCTTCATATGGTGGTCATGGTAGTTCAAGTGACTCCCAAAACAATACAGAGTATTGATGCAGGATTTTATTGGCTCTCAGAGGTTGAAGACACTGCACACTTAGGATCCAGGACTCAAACTATAGCCTAAATATACTACTTCTAAGTACCACACCTCAGTCTAAGGCACCTTCAGTTCTACCCAAAGCTATGCATCTGTTGCTGCTGTACCCCGACTGCAGATCCTTCAAGCCTGGTTTTCATCTAGATGATGAAGGCAAATTTTCAAAGCATAAAAATGTCACCATCCTGTTCATTCTGAGTAAAACTCAAATTCTAGCAAGGGCTTCTTGAGCTGAGTCTCATAAACTATGCTAAGTTCATTTATTTCCATGCCCCCCATCTTTCAACCCAACACCCTCTAGGCAAACTGCTCTTTGTCCAAGGTCTTTCGTGAGCTAAGGACTTTATTGTCTTAGAATCTTCTCATTCACTCATTGACATGAGCACAAGTTTCCCATGTTCCCCGCCCCCATAGAAGTAGATACACACACATGTTCACAACCATCTTCCTACACAGACACCCCAAAGCCTGCCCCCAGCAACACACTTCCTCCACAAAGGCCACACCTACTTCAACAAGGCCACACCTCTTAATCCCTCTCAAGTAGTACCACTTCCTGATGGCTAACCATTCAAGGGTATGAACCTTTGAAGGCCACTCTTATTCAAACCACCACAGTCTTCAACATCAGTTTTAGGGTGACTTTTCTATAAATTATTAATTGATATAATTGCTGCTATGAGTTTCTGAGAGTTGTAGTAGATAAGCCCTGTGCATATACACAGCATATACTGAAAACTCTCATATGGACTTGGAAGTTGAACATAATGAGTAGGGTTCCTTACTGTGATTGCTAACAAACAAAACCTGAGATGTTATCCTGAAATGTAGAAGCCAAATTGGTTAACCAGTAACAAAAGTGAAGACAAAAGAAAATTCACCCCACCCCAAACCAATGCTGAGCCACACAAATGCCGTCCAGGGAGGTGAGACTTTGGCACAACAGACTGACAGTAGAGATCAACCCAGAGCTGGTCCTGGGGTGGTATAAGAGGCCACAGTACCTTGCACTGGGAGATTCCTTTCTGAGCCTGTGTTCAGCTTCTGTGCTCTTTGTGAAGCCTGCTAATAACCTAGCTTCCCATATACTTGGTTCTCATTATACAGTAATAAACAGGCTCTCAATCACTGTGAACTTGATTAAGGCAAGTTTGCCTCTAAGGGATGTCAGAGCTACTTCAGCGTACTCAATAAAATCAAGTCTCTTAACCTACCAGCCCGAGACTACATTTAGGGTGGTAGTGAGCTCATCAAGGTAGATTTAACCTTGTGGGAACTTTCGAAGCAACCAGCCATGATACACAAAATTATGAAAAATCTCTCTGTAGAGAAATCTTAGCCTGCATGTTGCTATACTTTATTTGAATATTGGAAAAGACACCCAATTTTATTTTGTATGCACACTTTTCCTGTCTTTCTTTCATGGGGCCGATGAAGAAATCTTATTCCAGAAACCTTTGTGGGGAAGAGGTCAGATGAGGTCATGACTTTTGCCTGGATTACTATCTTTGTCTTTTTTAGATCAAGCTTTGACAAGCTACAAAGCTTCCTCAAAGACAAAAGTGTGGTGAAAACACAAACCCTTAATCCATGATGCCATTAATTCTGTGTTGAATTCCCCAAAGACACTTGCGCTGATATGAAATTCTGTCACCTGTTCTTAAAATTCAGAAATAGTTCCAAAACCACTGAAACTCATTTTCCTATGACAAATTTAATAGCACACACTTCAGAAAAGTGGCATTGACGGATGAACAGCAGTCAACATTAGCAGAAAAGATTCCACTGCCTGTTGGTAGTTGAATGATGCTTTGCGTTTCTATTGCTGCCGCCCAAATGAGCCTGGTGCATAGACTCATCACACTGAAGCAGCAGGGGCTCCCTCAGAAGTGTATTTGAGAACTATGATGCTGTTTTTGGATGAGAGCTGAAGTGAGATTGACAGTAATATACCTCTTTAATTTTAGAAAGAAGGTTTTGGGGGAAATCATGTTTTACCATTATAAATTCCATTTAAATTTCTCCTGTGATTAGAGAAGGGAATTTAAAACACCAGTGATTTTCCTTTTCCTTATCAAATTAAAAAATTAAGGGTTGGCTATGACTCAATCAGTAAAGCGCCTGCCATGCAAGTATAAGGATCTGGGTTCAGTTCCCTAGATCCAGGTAAAAAGCACAGCGTGGTGGCATGTGCTTGCAATCCCAATGTGGAGGAGATGGAAACCAATGGATTCTGGAGTTCCATTCATCATCCACTTTCCTCTACTTGATGAGATTTAGGTGAATGAGAGGTTTTGATCCCAACAATAGGGAAAATGGTGACTGAGGCCAGCACCTAAGGTTGCGTTCTGGCTCCACATGCCTGCACACATACATTCACACTCACATCCACAGTTGCATTGACACTCACACATGAATAAAGCACACACAGAAAAATTACAACTCACAACTTTGTTTTAGAAAATGAATTGTTGTCTCCTTTTAAATACTGGTGATCAACATTTTGGGGGGCAGAAAAGACCTTTCTAGGGTGGTAACTGTGGGAGCTGGGATACAGAGTCTGCGGCATCTACCCTGTGTGGACCACTCAAGTCAGAGGCTATGAGTTGATCAGATGGTTGCAAAATATTTATCATTTCCCATTGCTTAGTCCTGTTCCAAGAGTCTAATAATCTCTAAATACATTGGAGATATGAGACATCTTGAATTAAAATTAATTCACAAACACTTGTATTTAGAAAAATGGAAGGCATAGAATGGTGAGCAGTGTTCGAGATAAATCGTATTACAGAGAGCCTGCCACGAGCTTTAATCCAGTGTAGGCTAGTGTGTTTCTTTCAAAAGCATTATTTCATGGTAGCATAAAAAATAGATTGATGCTCTTTGCAGCATGGAATATGTATCAAAGAAATGTGACACAAAGCATCTTTGTAGAGAACCTGCAGCGAGGTAAAGGGGTGTTATGCAAAGTCAACCAGAGAGTGACAATTTCTCTTGATGGGAATCGCATAGAGAATTGGTGTGTGAGTGTAGGGGTTTGGATTTCTCCAGTAGGTGGCGCTGTAGTTTGGTTCTTCTGGGTAACCCAAAGGTTTATGTGTTAAGGATTGTTTCCTGTGGGAAGGTGGTTTAGCCTTTAAAAGGTGGGGCGTTGTGGGATGTATTTAAGTCATTAGCATATGCCCCAGAATGGGACTGTTGGATTCTGGCCTCATTTTCTCTTTCATTCCCTGGTCATGACATCAGTGTCTTGCTCTGCACATGTTCCCACTGTGATATGCTGTTGCCTCTCCCCATTGACCTAAGCATGAAACATCAGTAATAGACTGGAACCTCCAAAGTGAGATTTTTCTGTTTAAAAATTGAGTATCTCAGTATTTGTTACAGTAATTGAAATCAGGCAGACCCAGACGATCTTCAAACTGTGGAAGGTATAGGACAACTTTATTCTGAAAGGAATGTATGAACACAGAGACGATGCTAACTGGTATCCAAGGAGCAATGGGCACGTTGGTAACCTGGGTCCGTTCCAGTTTCCCTGGATAGTGAATTCACTAACAATCGGAATCCTTTCAATCGCACCAGCTGGGAGAGCAAAACTGGGGATCCCAGGCTCGCTTTGGTCCAGAACAATTTAGGAAGCAGATACTGTATGGGTTAAACAAGCACTGGGGCCCAAGGAGACAAGAATAAATATTGACTCCAAGAGATTCTTTCTGGTCAGATCTAGAAACCAAGTATAAAAGCCAAACTGCTACCAAGAAAGTACACATGTCAATACAAGTGAAGACTTGATGATTTATTTCTTTGAGCTCAAGGACAGGGATGCAGAATTTGTCTTCTTAAGGCTGGAACAGTGACCTGATTCTACAGTATTCAGGACCTAAGCAAAGCAGAAAAGGAGGCAAGGTTCCAGTTTGTGTGAGCTTTTACTGTAATAGAAAGGCCAACAGACAGCATGCTTCTGTGAAAGTCTCTCCCCAGGACCTCCAAGCTTGTAACTTATTCCTGTCACTTAGCTAGTCTCTGAATAACATTGTAAATTGTCATCCTAGATGCAGTAGGCAATCAACCCTAGCTTTCAAGATTGCAAATGGAGATTTACCTCTACCGTACAAGTTTTACAGTCTTCTTGAAATGTCCTCCCAAGGGGGAATGCTGTGAGAGGAAGGGTGTCATTACATGATCCCTGGGAGCTGTGAGCTTTCTATTTAACAATTTGTCTGGCTTGCTTTGCACGCTCTCTGTGTTCTGTCATAGGTACCTCCTTCGTTTAATCTCTTATGAATACAACAAACTCATTCATTCTCTCCTTCTGAAGTGTGGTGGATATGAAACTGCAGGTGCAGCCCAGCTGCCATGTTTTGTAGTGGTGGAGGGAACTGTTTTTGTCCCTTTCCCCAGAGACTTCAAAGAGGATAAGCCTTTCCTTAGATGTCTTCTGGTGTTCTGTCACTCAAAATTTCTACCTGCCTGCGTCTCCAGCATCTAATCTTCTAAAGTGATCCTTGGCTCCAATATTTTCCTCCTCTTACTCTCAAATGTCCATTTCTTCTTTATTCTGAGAAGATCAGTTTTGTCTTTGTCTTATTGACTTGTTATAGACTGATACTTTCCAAGTTGCTCTTTATACCACTCCATGAAGCCTTAGTCCATTCAGGTTAGCACAAATCAAATGAGCAGAGCCCACGCCATAGACTGGGAGTGGGGTTTATGAACTACAAATATTTACTTCTCGACATACTGAAGGGTGGGCAGTCCAAGACCAAGGCACCAGTAGATTCAGTGCATCGCAAGGGCCTGCTTCCATTGCAGACTGACACCTTATTGTGTTCTTGCATGGCCGAAGGGAGCTAGGAGATTCATTCTTAGGTCTCAGTCTCCATCATGAAGACCCTATCTTGTGACTTGATTTCCTTCTATACACTTTATCCACAAATCCAATCACATTGATGATTTATGTTTTCACACATACATTTGAAGAGGACACAACATTCAGTATATTATACTTGATTTGAAATAAGAATTCTCAAAACCTGAAACAGAATAAAATGAAGAAAAACAAGTTTTCTTTTGGAAAATGAAATTTTGCAGTAGAGTCCACTCTGTTGTAACACACGTTGTTTTCAGTGATTGTGGGTTAAAATATATTTATTTTGCCACAGGCCATACAGCGGCACAAATTGTCTTTCTGTCTACACATGTTCTATCAAAACCTTTTTTCCTAAACACAAATTATGTTCTGACGTTGTAAGATTTCAATAATCAAAGTTCTCACCATTGCTGTTGTTGGATGGGGCATCAAAGGTTCTAGCCTCAATGAGAAGTCTCACTGCCCCATTGAGACTCTCTCTGGGCAACAACCTTCATTTAGATGCATGCTCAGCTTTTGTTAGGAAAGAAATCCAAACTGAGTTGTTAGTATTCACAGTATGACTTCCCACTAACCTCTTTTCAGAGACTGAAGTGTGGACCAGGAGATTAAGGGGAAAAGACGGCTTTTCAAATTAAGTTTCTCATCTAGAATGTAGGTGTTGGTACTGCCCCTCCTTCCCACCTCCTATTCTGATTACTGAGAAGAAGCAGGCATGCCTGGATTGGGATGGACCGTCAATGGGTAATAGTTGAAGCAAAAGACTCTACTTTTATACACAGCTAAAGTTAAGAGAATGTGTTTTTTTCTTATATTTCTTTTATCCTATGCCAAGAGGGTTTCCCAGGCCTAAGGAGAGATCCCCAGATTGTTCCCTGGGCAGTAGAGGAGAAGGTACCTGAACTGGCCTTGGTCCATAACCATACTGATGAATATCTTGCATATCACCATAGAACCTTCATCTGGCGATGGATGGAGATAAAGACAGAGACACACATTGAAACACTGGACTTAACTCCCTAGGTCCAAATGAGAAGCAGATGGAGGGAGAACGTGAGCAAGAAAGGCAAGATCAGAGGGAAACCTCATCTGACGATGGATGGAGACAGAGATGGAGGCCCACATTGGAGCACTGGACTGTGCCCCCAAGGTCCAAATGAGGAGCAGAAGGAGGGAGAACATAAAAAAGGAAACGAGGACCGTGAGGGGTGCGTTCACCCACTGATACAAGGGGACTGATCTAATGAGAGCTCACCAAGGCCAGCTGGATAGGGACTGAACGAGTATGTGATCAAACTGGATTCTCTGAATGTGGCTGGCATGGGGACTGTCTGAGAAGCCATTGAGAATGGCACTGGGACTTGTTTCCTCTGCATGTACTGGATTTTTGGGATTCTAGTCTGTTTGGATGCTCACCTTCCTAGACCTGGAGGGAGTGGGGGAGGAACTTGAACTTCCCACAGGGCAGGAAACCCTGACTGCTCTTAGGGCTGGAGAGGGAGGAGGAGAGGGAGTGGGGGGAGTGGGAGGGTATTGGGAGGAGGGGTGGAAATGGAAACTTTTATAAATTAATAAAAAAATAATAAATAAATAAATAAATAAAATGGTGAAATTTTGAGATTGGAAATTCTGTCTACCTCAACTCCTAGATCAAAATACCTACACATACAAACTTTATTCTCAACAAAATTATAAACTTATGGGAATAATTCGTATAGTATACATAAACATTATGGAATAAAATCAGTATTTATGACAATCATGAAAAATTTTATTTTCCTTGTTGAGAATGATTGGCCCTCAATACTCCAGTGTTGGTTCTAACGCTGGCAACTTACATAGAAAACCGTCTCTTGGCAGAATATTTCTAAACCATAAAGTGTCTTGATCCATTTGTAAAATAGACTGCTAGGCTGGCAACAGCACAGCATTTCAATGGAAATCCGTGATGCTAATGCAAGCTAAGGAAGGAGAATGTTGACCAAGATTGATCATAAAGTTTGAGAGCTTATTCCATCCATTGGGTGTTTGTGTTTATTTTCATTTCACTGTCCCAAAATCGTCATGAAAGTTTGATTATAAGCAGTTACTGTCTATAAGCAGCTCCATTTATAGTAAATGCTATTCTAATCCATAACAATAGAGGTGTCTACTTTAGACAGATGATAGGGAACTTCTGGTGTCAGCAGTAACAACAAAACTATTTTTCAATTACTAGAGTGCAAGGCGGCATTTATTCCTCTTTATGTTTCTGGAAAGAGCACCATATGTCATTTTCTCTCCCTTTAGGGGAAATGGATGCAATGACTGAAGCACACTTGGTCATTTTATGAGGCCGCAAAGAGTGAATTGTATGTCATCTTCCCTATGCTAAATTTTTAGCCTATTCTCACTTTGGCTTAGAATGTAGCTGTGTGTGCAAAAGCTGTACTCGTGATAAAATACATTAGCAGATAGCAATGCCAAGCGTGATCATTTTCTTTAAATCTAAAAACTGCCTAGGGATGGAAATAAAAAGAACTGCATTCCTTAAAGATAACACTTCTTAGGTAAGCAAGGAAAAGAAGAAACAATTGTCTATATCTTCAGGGAATTCATTTTGGATCCCCACAGATACCAAAATAAGTACACATGTGGGCTTCTTATATAAAATGGTACAGTATTTGTACAATATAAGTGCTCATCACTTAAAAACTGTACATGGCTCTGTGTGCCTTGTGAAGCCTAAAATACAATGTAAATGATCTGTACATAATTGTTGCATTGCTTAAGGGATAATGGCGAAGGAAATTGCTCGCACAGGGTCAGTGCAAATGTGGTTTTCTGTCTATCTTTGAGTTTCAGCTGGTTGAATCCACAGATACAGAGGTTACGGACGTGGTGGGCAAGTTGTACTGTCTTCTATGAAATGAGCTTCTGAGACTGGAAAAGGCCTATCACCAAAGCCTGCTAAGAGAGAGTTATCTTTACTCTACACAGAGAAGAGCAACTGGGCTTTTGACCGATCTATGGGACAGATTTTGATATAGACAGTTCCAGAGTCTCTGGGATGAGGCTCGCCACGAAACTGTTCTCTTTGCAGGACCGCTTTTCCGGCATAGCAGCAGTGGCAGCATGGTGGAAAAATGGAAAATTGAAAACTCTGGAGACAATGGAAAATTCTGTGGTTGCCAGGGATTAGGGAGAGGGAGGTAGAAGGAGACAAAGCCCAGTGGGCTTCAGGGTAATGACAGTAGTGCATATGATCCTCTAAAAAAAAAGAAACACACCACTGTCCATCAACTCAAACCCACAGAATGTAAGAGTGCGTCCTGTAAATTATGAACATTCGGCGATAATGATGTGCAAATGTAGGTTCAGCAACTGTAAGAAATATGCTACCTTGGCGGATGATGCTGATATTAAGAAAAGTGATGTGGGGAGGGAATGAGCGGGGATATATGGAGATAGAACTTTCTGCTCAATTCTTCTGTGATCCTAAAGCTTTTATAAAAATGACCAATCAAAACAATAACATGGGGGGTTGTAGATGGCTCTGTGGGTAAGAGTACTTGCAGCACAAATGTGAGAACTTGAGTTCAAATCCCAAGCCACACAAAACTAAGAACAGGTTAACTGCTCTTATCTGTAACTCTGAACTTTGAGGGTGCAGAAGGACCATAAGATTCCTAGGGCTTGCTGTTTGCCAGCCTAGTTCCAGGTTCAGTGAGAGAGACTGTCTCAAGGGAATAGGCATAGTATGGTAGAAGCGAATATTGTCTCTGTTGCTGTGGTTTCTGTATGTGCACACAAACATGCACATGCTTACATACACCTCTCACCACAAAACAGACAAACATGAAGGTCTTCATTTCCGTGATTTTAAACTTATAAATTCCTAAAATCTCCCACATTTGAGCATGCAATTGTTTGCCTTCTCAGGTTAGCATTCCAATAGTCTTGAGATGTTAAGAATCTTAAAAGAGTAGCTTTGTTTTCCTGTTTCATAGCTTTAAGTCTTCAAGGTCTCACACACTTGAAATGTTGAAGTCTGTAGTGTGTGGCCACAAAACACCACTAGAGAGAGAGGCTGGAGCTCATCTTCAAAGCACAAAGGTAAATGTGTTCAGAATCCAAAATAGCTGTAACCAAGTCCCGTGTAGTTCAACACACAATATGGTAAACTGTAATATTTCTGGGACAGTGAAGAAGTTCAGAATATTCAGGAAGCAGAGTCATTTTAGATTCCTGTGCTCATATTCATAGCCCGGTGTGAGAGCAGAGTCACACAAATTTCATTCTTGACAGATGAAATTTAATACATAAATTTAAAATGTTACATAAAGATTCATATAATTCCCATAACCAAGGTAAAAATTAAAAACCACAGACTAGACATGAGATCAGCTGAGTTTGAAGTGTCCATGATGTTTAGAGAATAGTTGAGAAGAATGAAGACAAAGAGAAAAGAGACAGGAAACTACTTCAGAAGGAACTGTGGAAACTGCAAAGCAATCAGATAAAAAAATCTCAAATATGAAATCTGATGAAAGAAACTGAAGGAATTCACTGGACTGACTTGGCAGGTGGGTACAGGAGAAAGCATGAATGAATCTGTAAACATATTTATAGAAGCTACCCATTGATGACTTAGTGAAAAAATGCATACAAACAGTGAAATAATTTCTTGGCATGAAGCACTAAGGCAGATGTACAATTAGAGTTCTAGAAAAAGTGGAATAGCAGGGTGGACAGAAGATTGGAAGTACCACTCACTGAAAATGCCCAGATTTGATCAAAAGTAACAACCAAAGATAACCAAGCTGAAGGAACTAAAGTGTGATGAATACCATGGGTAATAGATGAAGACACATCAGAATACCATATTCTTCGAGGCAAATGTCTAGAAGCCAAATGTGATTTTGAAAGTGTTAAAAGCAGACTTCTCTCCACAAAGAGAAAATAAAAATGACAGCTGGCCTCTTCCTATTGGCAGTGTAGGCCAGAACCGTAATACCACACATTTGGCAAAATCCAGTTGTCAACTTAGAATACTTTACCTGATAAAATCCCCAAATATCTTTTAAAATGAAGAATATCTAGGCTTCCCCTCAAATGTATGATCCTTCTTCCTCAGACATTCAGACCCTCCCAAAATCTGGGATTGTGGGTGTGTTCTACCATACCCAGATTAAGAAAGACATTTTAAAAAATAATTATTACTAATTCTCTGAGTGTTTAAACAACATATTTTGATCATATTTACAGCCAACTCCTCTGCTTAACCCCTTCCAGATCCACCAATACTTCCCTACTCTTCTTTTAAAGTTTAAACCCATTGGCTACAATTTGTGCTGTCCATTTTAACAATGAAAATGAAACCATTTTATGTAGTAGCCCTAAATAACAAGAAATACTTAAGAGATTTCTTTGAAATATGTGTGTGTGTGTGTTTGTATAGCACAGGTTGTAGCCAGAATATGTAGAAAGAAATGAAAACCACAGAGAGTAAACATGTCATAGCTAACAACGATATATACTTTTGTTTTTATTTACCTTGCTCGAAGTCAGGAAGGCAGACCCAGAATCTTGTGAAAGATCGGCATCCTGTACTCCTAGCTTCAAAAAATATTTAAATGGACCTTTAGTATGTATTTTGCAAAGTATTATTTAAAGGCTATTTATTATTTAAATAAATATAACTATAAGAATTTTCATATAGGTCAGAAAATTGGGAAATGAGATGTTAATATTGAAATATTTTTGCATGCTTGTTGAATTAATATATAGTTTGAAGTTAGACCATGAAAGTCCAAGATTTTTACTGTTAGAGTAAAAATACAATATGAAAGCAAAGGATTTAGAATAATGTCTGTGGGCTGGGTGGTAGTGCGCATGCCTTTAATCCTAGCATTTGGAAGGAAGAGGCAGGTGGATCTCTGAGTGTGAGGCAAGTCTTGTCTACAGAGTGAGTTCTGGGACAACCAGGGCTACAGAGAGAAACCTTGACTTGGGAAAAAAAATAATGTCTTTGATTCAACCTTAGAACTTGAGACACCAGTGTGAACCCATTATAGATTATTTATATATATATTCAGATAGGTAGTCACAAAATATATATGCATACATTTTATGTGTATGTATACATATAACATATATACATAGAATGTATATACATACATACATGCAGACATATATGTACACAGATGTACACATGTGAGTCCTTTCAGTAGCAGTGAAAAATATCAAACACTCATGGCTCTATTCTGAAAATATTTAAGTCTAATTTTTACTAACAGAAACCATATTTTCTTGGCTAGCTAGGCAAACTGTTGCATTTCAAAGACATAAAGACCAACAATCTAATCAGGAACAGCAGACACTCAGCCAATAAGATATACAGAGGGCACATAAAGATATGAAAGGACGATCAACAACATCAGCCATTAGGAAAATAGTCATTTTCCAAATGACTATTAGGAAATAGTCATTATTTAAAATTATTTAAATTATTTAAAATTATTTAAATTATTTAAGAATAAATTAATAGTCATTAAATTAGTGACTGCTTCCTGCCCCCCAAAGCTACAGAACATAAAGAAACTGTAGGCATTAAACACCATTGTGAATGTAAATCAAATGTTACCTTCTCAGACTTATTCAAGGTTATAAAAGTAGGAATGATTTGATTGTTTCTTATGCAAGTGCATCTACCCTGATATACCACATATATTACCCCAGGAGAGATAGAAACACACACCCAGAAGTCATCTTTGCTTCATTCATAAGGGCTCCAATCCAGAAACTTAAATATGTGCCAACATATAAGTAATACCCAATAACAGAGAGGAATAACCTTCAGAAATACACGACAATATGTATAGATTTAAAACCCCAAAGACTACTGAAAAAAGTTAAGTACAGCAAATCACGCATGCACGATCTGGATAGGAAGCTTTAGAGCAGGTACACACCTACTATTGCAAAATGAAATTGGCTTGGTAGTCACCTGAGTCAGAAAGAATGACTAGAAAGGGGCATGGGAATCAGAGGAGTTAGAAATGTCCAATACCTGGTATATGTATTTTTTATTTATATACACTGTTCAAAATACATCAAAATCTACACTGTATTAATCTGTTTATTTTGTTGCACAGAATCAATAAAGGTGATTAAAATAATGAAACAGGAGTCTAGACTCTTAGAGATCTTCCCAACAATTTTTTTTATTATTTATTGCTTACTATGCTTCATGTAATTTTCTAGGTGCTGGGATCAAACCAATAGATAAAGCTGGTAAGGTACCTGTCCTAGGAAGCTTATGTGCTAGCAGATGAAGAAAAGCAATGAATGAATCAGCTGATAAGGATGCATGCTCAGGATATACTGCCTGACCCTGGAGCTCAGCTGTGCCAGTTCTTACAAGCTTCTGACGATGGTTTTCTGAATCAGTATGTTCCATGAAGGTTTTTTTTTTAAAGATAACTATTTCACTTCCCCCTCCCTTTATGATGCTTCTCAGGTTATCCCTCAAACAGGGTAAGTGCATCTCATTCTTTTATTCATTACGTGCATTTAGATAAAGCTCAGGCTGACACCTAGATAAAGACACACACAGTTCTGGGATGACAGCATGGGGGAAAGATTATTAGATACAAAGTAGTAGAAGGGGCATTCCTGATCATAGACATTGAGGAAAGAGAAAGGGGCTAGAGTGGATTCCCATTTGGGAATTGTTTCCAACTAGACTGCATTTGAATCTGTGAGACTTGATGGTGCTGAGAGAGTAGATATAGATAGAGAGCTGCAATAGCCCTGATTTGAGTGCTGGGGTACTGCAGAGTACAAAGAGTAAGGGATGAATAGAAGCAGTCAGTGCAGTAGAACACCGAGAGAGAACAACGATCCAGCAGGCTGTTCTAGGAGTGCCTTCCCAGCAAGTAACAGCGATAAACCTTGCCAAATGTTGCTTATTCAGCAAAAAAGACAGAGACTGAAAAGGGCCAATGGTTTTGAAATAATTGAGGTTATCACTGGTGGCTCTGACCAGAGTTGATTCACTGAGGTGGAAGATAGAACAGTCATTGGAGGAAGATTAAAAGGGAAGGGGAGAATTGAAAGTAGAAAAAAATTCAAGAAGGAATGAACATTTAATTGTAAATGCATATATGCTCAAAGCTGCTTATAACTTCATAAAGGAAAATGGAATATGTTATGAGGATCTTCTCTGTAATGCATTTCTCAGAAATGAGGTAATACCTGGAAGGGAATTATGCATTCAAGAAATGATTTGTTTTCAGTAAAGGCAGGTATTTTTATAGTATGCACATCTGTTGATGAGAATAATACAGAGAAGAGTGAAGGCTGTAGGCAGGATGGAGGCCAGCAGTCAACAGTGTGTCTGGCATAGGCAAGAGGGGTTAGCATCCAATAGTTCAAATGAAGACATTGACCTAGATCAAAAAAATGGACCTCTACTTACTAGTGACATTCATAAAAGGATGGAATGAGTATCAATGGTATAGCACGGTGTATACAGTTGGGGAAAAGATTAGACAGTTCTTTTCGAAGTAATTGTATTTCTCAGAAGAAAAGGTATCAAGGTTAGCATCTAAAATTAAATAGAAGGCATTTAGATATTTAAGAGAGAAGCAGCAGTGCATCTTGGGTGCCCAAGACAGTAATATTTTTTTTTAATGAGGTGTATTGGACAGCACAAAGGTATACCTCATGTTAGTGGCCAAGAATATAACTAATTCAGTTCATGTGATTTTATGTTTTAGCAATACATAAAGACATAGAATAAGTACAGAGTCAGAATTTCCCAAAATTTAAACTTTTAATAAGAAAATAAAATAAAAAGAAAGAAGAGTCATTTTCTCTTAGGATTATATAGAAAAATGGGTATAACATAGGATCGTGGACTCTAGATAGGGTAAACAGAGAAGTGAGCATGTGAGAGGTACTATGACAAGAGAACCTGCCAGTGGAGTGTGTGACTGGCTAACCAGAAAATTAGAGAAAATAACTAGGAAAAATTATTGGAGCTAGAGAGGAGACCCTTCAAGCTGATTTATCAAAGCGTGGATTATTGAGAATAATAAAATATGAGCTCTGGTCCTAGAGGTGACAATGAGTAAAATTGAAGAGAAGAAAAAAAAAAGAGAAAGGGGTTTAAGGAACAGAAGGACAAAGAAATGGAAGGAAATCTGTGTGGATATTGGAATCATCAGAGTTGTGATGACATCAACCACAGTAGCAACTATTGGAACCTTTATTAATGAGGGGACATGACCTAGAGATGACAGAAGACTCTAACAATGGAACAAACAGAAGAACTTCTTGTTCCCTTTGCTGACTGATGAACACTTTCACACACACACACACACACACACACACACACACACACACACACACACTGTTGTAGAAAATGGGTTATTGCAGAGAAGAGCACACTCTCAAGAGCTGAGGGGAGAAAATGACCACAGAGACTGTTGCACTGGCCTACATTTTAGGCAGAGTTTATACTATTTCCAAGCCTCTACAGCAGACCATTATTCCTATGGCTTGTTCTCTGTCCAGATGATGGATAGACTATTTATAGTGACTCTTATGGAAGGGCTAATAGTAAGTCCTTGGTGTTTAGCAGAAAGTCTCCAGAAAAGCTAGTAATTTAAAAAGGCTTACTTAGGTGTCAATTAATGACTTTCCTTGGGTGGCTGGAAATGTCACATCTCTATTCATAGCCAGAGATAGAACTCAGATCTCGTTATTTTGACCATCAACTAGAGTCCCGTGGTGGCACTTCTTGGTTTTACACGCTGCTGATTATGCATGGGGGTCCATCCTCAAGGATCAACTTGCCTGCTTGCATCCAAATAGCCACTCAACAACCCCACCCCACCCCAAGTTGAGACCATATGACTATTTTAGGGAATGAGCATTCAGTTGATCATTCTACCTCCAACTGAAATGGGTGAAGAAGGGTTTAGTTTTCTCAACTCTTTCTTTCTTGAGGCCTTGAAAGACTGTTGAAGGAACTCAGAATATGTTTTAGAGAAAGAAGATCAACAGTAAACTGGTGGAGATAAAATTAATAAGGCATCAGGCAGACACATAAGATCTAAAGACTAATAGGTACACTGCTAGGTTTATACTGCTAGGATTATAAAAAACATTGCATTTCCTCCAATAAAATCCAGAAATTCAATTTCACAGCTATTCACTGGATGGGATGGTGGGATTGACATGCTTTGAATTTTGCAGATTTTGGAGTAGTAATAAATATTCTGTCAACATATAACATTGATAATCCCCTATCCTATAGACTCTGAGGATGTTCATCTCGTGCATCCAGACCACTTTTAGACTTGTAAACCAACCAAGTTCTCTCTCTCTCTCTCTCTCTCTCTCTCTCTCTCTCTCTCTTTCTCTCTATTTCTCTCTCTCTCTTCCTTCCTCCCCCTCATTATGTGCGTGTGTGCATGTGTGTGTGTGTATTTTCCAACTCACAGAGTTAGTGCACTTGACCCAAAGCCTGGGTGAGAACTCTCAGGGCTATACCTTGGCATTCAGTAACATACAGTTAAAAAGACGTGTTAAACTGTGGTAATCTAGAA